AAATCCACAAATCAAAAATCAAAAATCAAACCCACCAACAAATTTTTTTTTTCTTTTTCCTTCATATTCTTCATCAACAACAACAACACATCATCATCAACAGATCTATGTGTGTATCAACATATATATATATATATATATATATGAGAGAGAGCCACCCATCAACGCCGCCATCACCGTCTCCTCTGTACGCCATTACCGTCTTGTCTGTGTGTATACACAGATTTGTGTATACACACACAGATCTGTGTATGCAGATCTGTTCCCTTACTCTATTTTTCTTCTTCTCTTCCTCATTCTCTCCATCTTTTTTTTCTCCTCCTTCTCCTTCTCCTTCTCTTCCTCCTATTCTCTCAATCTTTTCTGCTTCTCTCTCTTGCCTCTTCTCTGTGTCTTCTGTCGGTTTCAGAGAAGGGACAAGGAAAAAAAAAGAAAAAAAGAAACCCAAAACAACGTCGTTTTGGTTTCGAGCCAATTTGAGCTAATGAATTTCGAGCTACCAAGGATTATTCAAGTTGTAATATCAGAAATTTAAAAATAAAATAAAACAATAATAGAAAGAAGTTAAAAAATAGAAACAAATGTGATTTTTTTAACACATGAATGAGTAGCCCTTGTAGCAAAGCTATTGTGGAAAATGGGCTATCACAAGGGATTAAATAATGACAATACAAGCCCCATAGAATATGGAAGAGACATAAAATAAGAACAAAAATTGAAAAAAAAATAGATACTTATTTGGTGTATTAAAATATAAAAAGTAAAAAATTGGAAAAAAATTAAATTGGATACTTATTTGGCATATCTCTCACGTATCGTGCCGTATCCTTCAAGCATCCTTCACTTATCCCTCTTGTATACTTTAAATTAAAAAAATAAATCAGATACTTATTTGCCGTATCCGATGCGTATCTTGCCGTGTCCGATGCGTATCTCGATACTCGATGCGTATCGGACGTGTATCCGTATTCGATACTTGTACGAAACTTTTTTGGAGTATCTGTGCTTCCTAGGTCCCAAGTGTGCTTCCACTTAGAATTAAATAATCTCCCCCATATCCCCCAATCAAACATGCCCTTCTCCTTTGATTTACTTTGAAATTTCAGATACACACTTATGTTAATTGACTGTCAATAACAATAGCTGACTTTGTCCAGGTCATCAATTTGATTATGAAAAATGGCTGGCAGCTCGAAATCCCCCAGGCTTGAATGGCTCGAAATCAAAACGTCATCGTTTTGATTTTGATTTTTTTTTTTCGTTTTTATCTGTGAAACGCAAGAAGAAAGGGAGAAAGAGAGAGAATGAGAGAGAAAGAGAGAGAGGAGAGAAGAAAGAGAGAGAAAGGGAGAAAGGGCCGATCTGATCTTCCTTCCTCTTCCACGATCTGATCTTCCTCTTCCACGATCTTCCTCTTCCACTCCGCCATGACCGGCGACTGCTATCACCGGCAGATCTGTTTTCTCTATTTTTTTTTCTGGATCTGAAGATGAAAGAAAAAATTGGAAAAAAAAAATTGTTGATGAAGATGTTGTTCTTGATTTTTTTTTTTTAATTTTTTATTCTAGTAGATCCAGATCTGAAGGTAAAGGAAAAAAAAAAAAAAATATTGGCTGATTTCTAGTTTGTTTGTTGTTATAGTTGATGATGATGATATGTTGTTGATGATGATATTCTCTTCCTTCTTCTTCCTTCTCCTCCTCTTCTTCCTTTCTTCTTCTCCTCTCTGTTTGAGTTGGAAAGGACGAAAAAAAAGAAAAAAAAATCCAAAAAGACGTCGTTTTGGTATTTCGGGCCACTCGAGCCACGGGAAATTCGAGCTACCAAACGGGGTTATTTTATTATATTTCTTATTTTACCCTCCTTTGCCTATTGCCACCTTGACACACTAGGCCTCCTTTGCTAGAGTGCGCCATCGAGACTTTAACCTATTTGGATTTTTTTTTAATGAAAGTTAAAAAATTAAGTTGATTTAAAAATTAATTCTCAAAATGGGTCAAAACATATTTTATAAATACGTCTTCTGTTAAAATAAAATAAAAACATCATTTACAAAGTTTATTTTGTAATTATGTTTTCTTAATTAAAACACATATTTACAAATATGTTTTTAACATTTTTTTACAAAATAATTAATAAACAATGGAAACCATTGTAAAAACATATTCAAAAATAAGTTTTCATCATAATTTTTTTTTTTAAAACAATAATTAATAAAAAACTGAAATCATAATTTTTTTTTTTGAAAAATAAAAAACTGAAAACGTATTTTGTAAATATATTTTCATCATAATTTTTGCAAAATACGTTTTCATCATAAATTCTTTTTTAAAAAGTAATTAATAGAAAGTCTGTTGAAACTGTATTTTACATGTTTTAAAAATAATTAATAGTAAAAAATAGAAAACATAGTAATTTTTTAAAAAATATTTAATAATTTTTTTTATAGAAAGCGTGTTGAAATAGAAAACGTATTTCGTAAATACACTTTTATTTAATTATTAAATATTTAATATTATTGTATTTTTGTAAATATGTTTTCGTCAAATTTTTTTTAAAATAATTAATAAAAAGTTGTTGAAATAGTAAACATATTTTGTAAATACGGTTATTTTTTAAATAATTAATGAAAGTTTATTTTGTAAATAAGTTTTTTTTTTTTACCACATGTGATTGCAATATAATTTTTTTAAAATAAAAAACGTGTTTTTTTAACATAATTTTTTATTTATGTTAAAAGCACGCTTCCATTTTGTTTTTTTATTTTTTTGGCGTTGCATCTTATTACCGTTATACATATTTTTTTTTTTTGTCCCTAACTCTCAGTCGCCGTCATTCATCTCTCTTTCAACATAATTTTTTTAAATGTTGAAAACATGCTTTCAACTTAATTTTTTTTTTTTAACATTCAATAGCAGTCTCACAATTTAAAGACAAGGCATCCAAATCAAAGTTATATGATTTTCTTAACTAAAGAAAATCTTCAATACCAACATTTTTACAATCATTTCAATATTTAGAGAATAATAAGATCAAATCTAACCCCATACTTACAAACAATTAAGAGTTCTAAGTTTTTCACCTTTTGAAACCAATATGAGAAAGACATAGGGTTTTTTTTCCTAGAAAATTTGGGGCTTTTCTTTCCCCCTTGCCAACTTCATTATTACTTTACCACTCAAATATTTATTGAAGAATTGTAGAGATAGGACACAATTTTGTTTTCAAGAAAACCCTCCCTCATGCATATGAGAAAAACCTTTGACATTTTAACACAAATTCTTACCACACATCAACAAATAAACATATATTGAACCAAAGCTAGAAACCTACCTCTATCTTGAGAAGAGAAGAAAGCCCTAGAGCGCTAGGTTGCCCAAAATCAAGATTTCTTTGGTAGCTAGGAAGCCCTTGATTTGTTCTTCAATTTGCCTCAAGAACTATGCTCAAAATCTTGCCCTAACTAGATGAAATCTAACCTTGGATAGAAGTTTTGGGGGAGTGTAGAAAGGAAGAGAAGATTTGGTGCAGAGAGGCGAGTTAAAAGAAATGAGAGAGAAAGGAGTTTTGGGGTCAAATTTGATGAAAATGGGTCAATTTTCAAAGTTGAAAACACATTTTGCCGCATGTGCGGGACCCAAAGCCACACATGCGGAATGTGCCTGCCGCACATGTGGGGCCCAAGGTCGCACCTGTGGAAATTCTCCCAGAATTCTCCACCTTCATTGCATGGATCTGCACGTGCGGGAATACCCACTGCATGTGCAGTGGCACCTGTTAGATTCAGAAAATTGTGGAGGTTTCTATGCCTCAAGTTTGTGTACCGGGATTCAACCATCAACAATCAAAATCCATTTAAGAGTAAAACGTCCCCAATTTCTACAACAGTAATAACAATAACAAGACATAGTTTAATGCATCAATGATCTTGAACTGTGTCGATGAACCCGTGTTTGTGTGTTAAACTAGAATCTAATACTCGTGGTATTACAACTACCACCGTCCCTCTCTTTCTTCTCCACCTCTATCATATCTCACCCACCCACCGACATGGCCACCATCACATACAAACCTGCCACTACCGGATCAACACCTACGCCATCGATGCTCATACTCTTGTTGCGATTAACGTCTAGTCTTGTATCCATAGATGTTGTGAAAGTGCAAACCAATGCAGATCATTAAAGTCACCAAATTGCTAGAATTTTGGGGATTTTGTTTAGGTTTCAAATGATGGTCAGTGTCATTTCTTTGAAACACATTGAAAATTAAGGATCTATGGGGGTGCCTATGTATAGTAGTCACGGTCATAGTGGTAGCAGAAAGCTGATTGGTGAAAGAGATTGTGATTTTAAAATCGAGGATCTATGAGTTTGCGATTTTAATGGAGAGAAAGAGAGACAGAGTGATGTCTGAGAGATTGAAGAGGGAGAGTGAGAAAGGAGTTGGCAGTGGGGTTCGTAGGGCCAAGGACATTTTTGCCATTTCATGTTACCCGTTAATAGAGAACGTTTAAGACCCATTTGGTGAGCTGAGTCTCGTTTCTTCATACTGAGGTTAACTGTAATTTGGACAATTTTCAGTAGAGGTCAGTGTAGTTTGCCCCAATTTTTTTTAGGATAAGTAATCCGTGGTTGCCGAAAAAATCTGATTGAAGTTAAGTTGAAGTTGTTTGCCAAACTACACATTTCTGGTTTTTAACAAACAAACTCTTCAAAAAGGGTTCCCATTGCAGACGTGACACCCTTCTTTGAACAATTGATTTCCTTTCATTAACATATGAAAAGTTCTGTAGTAATTTTTTTTATAGCCCTCGCAGTGTGTGCACCCTTATTCGCATGCTCATGATCTTCCTTTTAATTAATTTTTGCATGTTCAGCCCCTGTTTGGAAACTTTTTGCTATAGAAAAGAAATTTTTATTCCGTTTCCGGATATCTTAACCCTCTATATAGTGTGCACTTGTGTGGCCATATTTATCAACTTGATTACTTTGAGATATTGAAACATGTGTTGAAACACTCCCTGTTTCCAGGCGTTTTTGGACGGAGAGCGAGCTAACACGTATTTGATGAGGGATATTAGGGATGAACTCTTACATGGTGCTGCTTTTGAGATAACTGGTCATTATCATGAATCAGTTGCGGATCTTGTTAGTTTGGTTAGTATGAAGATCACAATATCTACTCTTCTGAGATTTCTACTTTTTTTTGTCAGCAATCTTTTATCTTAGACAGTCTTGATTTAAAAGCTTTCAAACATGTTGACCAGGCAAAGAAAACGGACTCTTCACTTCAGAGAATTCGTCAGGGTGCACAAAGGCGAGGTGGAGCAAGCTCTGATGTCTCTGAAAATAATGTGTCCAATACTGATAAGATCTGTATGCAATTATTTCTTGATATTCAGGTTAGCCTCATCCTCGTACAAATCTTAGTGTGTGGCTGTGTGTGGATGCACATTCCTGTTTGTGTTTTTGTGTTCAAGTCTTGGAGTCATCAATGGGTGGTTGATTGGAAGATTTTTCACAGTTGTGATTTTATTTTCTGCTTTTTTTTTTTTAAGAAGGAACTGCGAAAACCTGGGAAGGCCTGGCCGAGATGTTTGTGGCCAAGTTTGTGACGAACAAACTACAGCCATTAAGGGTAGATGCCCTGATGGCTTTGAAAATTGGCAAGGACAAAAGCCTAAGGGCCTATGCCAAAAGGTACTATGAGGTATTCAACCGGATACCAGAATGCAACCAAGAGGTGGCGGTCATATCATTTAAGAACGGCCTAAAAGATGATTGTCTGCTTTGAAAATCATTGGCAAAAACATTGCCAAAAAGTATGGAGGAATTAATGGCTAGAAAAGAGAAGTACGCCAGCGCCGAGGAAGACACGCCGGGGGCAAAGGTGTTGAAGCAAGAGAAGGGAAACGGCTCGCCAAAATGAGGCCGAGGTAATGGCAGGAATAACAAACAAGAGATAGGGTTGAGAGCTGCACAGGCAGTCACAACCGTATTTCGAATCCCAGTTCACAAAGTCTTAGAGAAGATCCGAAATCGGCCATTTTACAGAGCACCAACAAGAGTTCCAGGAGAATTTATGGGAAGCCTTGGTAAGCACTATGCTTACCACAATGAGGCTGGACATCTGACTCAGGGGTGCAGAGCCCTAAAGGCACATCTGGAAGACCTGGTAAGACAGGGTCATTTAAGAGACTTGATAGATGAGACCAGGACAAGGGAAGAGCAAGCGAGACTGCCTCAGGCACCAGCAGCACCACCCCCGCCAGCACCGCAACCGCAAGTAGGCGGGCCTCGAGTCATCAATGTGATTCACTAGAAGGTGAATGAGAACGAGATACATGGAAAAACTCAGAAGGTAAAACACTTGCAACATGTGTATCAGGTCCGGCAGAAGAGACCTAGGACAGACGAGTGCCAGGGACCAGTGGTGTCCTTTACTGAAGATGACCTAGAGATGGTGCAGCATCCACACAACGATGCCTTGGTAATATCCCTCTATATTGGAGAGTGCTAGGTAAAGTAAATTCTAATCGACCAAGGTAGCTCTTGTGACATCATGTATGTCAGGTGTTACAAAGAGTTTGGCCTTTACCAAGATGATCTGGAACAATCTAATGGTCCAATGGTCGGGTTCAATGGAACGCCGAATTGGCCCCTGGGAGCAGTGAGTTTGGAGGTGTAGGCTGGCACCAAGAAGGTAAAAACTGAGTTCACAATAATTGACACTTCCTCCCCTTACAATGCTATCCTGGGAAGGCCATGGCTACATGCAATGGGGGCTGTTCCCTCAACATTGCCCCAGCTGTTACAGTTTCCAACAGAACATGGAATTGAGGAGATCAGAGGGGATCAAGTGCAGGCAAAGAATTGCTCCATGGCAGCAATGAAGTCCACCTGCAACATACGAGAAGCAGAAGCAGCAAAGATTGAAGATGAGGACATGGAGGTCCTTGAGGACGTCGGCAAAAAACTAGCTGAGAAAAGTGAGGAAGCCCTAAAGAAGATCTTAGTCCAGCAAAGGGATGAAGAACGCTTCTTCCTCCTCGGCTCAGGCTTGGCCGAGGAAGAGGAAGAGGAAAGAGAGTTAGAAGCATTCTTGAGAGCAAACCTTGAGGTGTTTGCTTGGACACCGTACGAGATGCTTGGCATTAACCTCGAGGTCACTTGCCATAAATTGAATGTGAACAGGTCGACTAAACTTGTCATCCAACGAGCAAGAAGGCCGACGTTGATGCATGTTGAGGCAGTAGAAGAGGAAGTGGATAAACTTCTAAAGGCCAAAGCCATTCAAGAGGTAAATTACCTGCCATGGTTATCAAACATAGTGGTTATGAAGAAAAAGAATGGGAAGTGGAGGGTCTGCGTGGACTTTACCAGCCTGAACAAGGCTTGTCCCAAAGACAGTTTCCCACTACCCAAGATTGACCAATTGGTGGATGCCACTTCAGGACACGGAAGGATGAGCTTCCTGGACGCCTACAAGGGGTACTACCAGATAGCCATGTACTCTCCAGATGAGGAGAAGACTGCATTTATCACCCTAAAAGGGCTGTATTGCTACAGAGTAATGCCTTTTGGGTTGAAAAATGCAGGAACAACTTACCAGAGATTAGTGACTAAGATGTTCAGACATTTAATAGGCAAAACAGTGGAGATATACATTGATGACATAGTCGTGAAGACCAAGGAACTTGAAGATCATCTGGCCAACCTGAACATAGTCTTTGACATCCTAGGGACATTTTGGCTCCGACTCAATGCATCGAAGTGTGCATTTGGAGTTGGGTCAGGAAAATTCCTAGGATACTTGGTCACCAGAAAGGGCATTGAGGCAAGCCCAGATCAAATCAAGGCCATTCTGGAGTTAGAGAGCCCAACGTCGGCAAAACAAGTGCAGATGCTGACTGGAAGGGCTACAGCCCTAAACAGATTCATAAGCAGAAGTTCTGATAAATGCAAACCTTTCTTCAGTTTAGTAAAGAAAGCCACAGACTTCTTATAGATAGAGAAGTGCGAAGCCGCCTTGATCGACTTGAAGAAATACTTGACCACAACTCCAGTTCTCTTAAATCCAGTACCTGGAGAGGAGTTGTTCTTATACTTGGCGGTCTCAGAGCACGCAGTAAGTGTAGTAATAATCAGGGAAGATAAAAGAGAACAGAGGGCAGCCTACTACGTGAGTAAAACCCTAGCAGATGTAGAGACCAGATATCTGCCTTTAGAAAAAGCTAACACTAGCCTTGGTAATGGCCTCCAAGAAGCTGAATCATTACTTTTAAGCCCACAAGATTGTGGTGCTAATTGAGTACCCTCTGAAGTCCCTGTTGTAGCAAAGGGATCTAACAGGCAGGATAGCCAAATAGGCAGTGGTGTTAGGCCAATATGACCTGGAATTCAGACCCAGAATAGCAATCAAATACCAAGTTTTGACTAACTTCATGGCCGAGTTCACACCAGGCGCTATCATACATCAGGCTCTATTAAGCCGAGGTATATGATGCCTAGGTGAACAAGGAGAAACCCAGTTGGGGATAGCCAAACAGAAGAAAGAAGAGAAACTCAAGCCCTGTAGTATTTATGTCGGCGACTCCTTCTAACTATTTGTTGACGGAAGTTCAAACCGACAAGGAGCGGGGCAGGAGTAGTGCTAATATCACCGGATGGACAGATGTTGGAACAATCCATTCACTTGGGGTTTAAGGCCTCAAACAACGAAGCAGAATATGAAGCACTGATAGCAGGATTAAAGTTGGTAGCAGCAATGAAAGCCGACAAGGTAATGGTCTTCTGTGACTCCTAGCTTATCGTCAACCAGGCAACAGGCGAATATGCAGCTCGAGATGAAAGGATAATGACCTATGTAAAAGAGGTGGGCAGACTGATGGCATTGTTCCAAAATTGCCGACTACAGCAAGTCGACCGAGATGACAACAACAATGTCGATGCCTTGGCCAACCTGGCTAGTGCAATGAAACCAGGAGGGGCAAAAACAATAATGGTTGACTACTTACCAGGACCAAGTGTAAAACCACTGAACACAGAGCATGAAGCAATGTGTGTGGAGATAAAACCAAGCTGGATGGATGCAATAATAGTATTCCTTAAAGAGGGAAAACTGCCAGAAAATAAAAAAGAAGCACACTAGATCAGACTGAAGTCTGCAAGATTCAGTCTGACAACAGAGGGGCATCTCTACAGAAGATCTTTTACGGGTCCCCTATTGAGGTGTGTGCATCCTTCACAAGATGAAGACTTCTTGTATGAGATACATGCAGGAGTATGTGGAAGCCGCACTGGGGCCCGGTCACTTGCTCATAGGGCCATTACTCAGGGGTACTAGTGGCCCTATATGCAGAAAGATGCTGAAGCCTATGTCAAAAAGTGTGAGAAGTGTTAGAGGTTTGCACTTTTGATACACCAACTAGTAGCAGACTTGAACCCAGTGTCCAGCCCTTGGCCATTTGCCCAATGGGGTATGGATCTTGTTGGACAACTGCCTCAAGCAACTGGACAAAGGAAGTTCTTGCTGGTGGCAACAGATTACTTTACCACATGGGTTGAAGCTGAGCCCCTTGCAAAGATTCAGGACATTGATGTAAAAAACTTCATATGGAAGAACATCATCACCAGGTTTGGGATTCCAAGAGCAATAATAGCAGACAATGGTACTCAGTTTGACAGTAAGCTAATCAAGAGCTTCTGTGCAAAGTACAAGATTAAGAACTACTATTTCACTCCAAGTTTCCCTCAAAGCAATGGACAGGCAGAAGCATCCAACAAAATAATATTGGATGGGATTAAGAAGAGGCTGGAAGTAGTAAAGAGAAAATGGGTGAATGAGTTGCCCAGTGTACTCTGGACATATCGGACTACGCCGAGAAGATTAACTGGGGAATCCCCATTTGCCATGGCTTATGGCACAGAGGCAGTAATCCCATTGGAGGTCGGCATCCCAGGGATCAGAACCCAGGGAGTAGAAAATGGTACCAACGAGGCATTTTTAGCCCGAGATCTAGATCTATTAGAAGAAAGAAGAGAGAAAGCAGCAATTCAGCTGGGGGCATACCAGCAGCAACTTGCCAAGGCTTATAACAAAAAGGTCAACCCACGAGGGATCTCATCTTGAGAAAAGTCGTCAGCAACAAGGAGGATCCCAGAGAGGGCAAGCTTGGCCCAAATTGGGAAGGACCTTATAGAATTATCTCGGTCCTGGGCAATAGGGCATATTGACTTGAAGACAGTGAAGGCAAAGAGTTGCCAAGACCTTGGAATACTTGCAACCTGAAATTTTTCTATCATTAAAATTTCCTTTTGTTTTTAAGTTTTTCTGTTATTAGCCGAAGTAATTAATAAAATTTTAGCTCGATTTTTTGATTTCAAACTTGTGTAAAACAATTGACCAGTCACTTAGCGATGTTTCTGATTGAAACATGACGAATAACTTAGACTTATTATATGACAAAGTTGAATTATACTTGCATATAATAGAGTTGAACTAAGTTGGCAATGTTCCTAATTGAAACATGACAAATAACTTAGATTTATTATATGGCAGAGTTGAATTATATTTGCATATAATAGAGTTGAACTAAGTTGGCGATGTTTCTGATTGAAACATGACGAATAACTTAGACACTAAATACATATCAGTTAGACCAACAAAGACCAAGGTTGACAACCTCGGCCAGTCTCTGTTTAAATCTGATCTCGGCGACAAGATCATAGGTACATACTTAATGTAAACATAAGTGAAACTTAAGTTCACATTAGGGGGCAGAGAGTTGGAGAATAATTTGCCTGGAAGTTGGAATTTATAAGCTAAAGTTGGTTCAACACTTGTTGAAATTTTGAGAAGAATTTACAAGTTGAAGTTAAGCCGAGGTCATGTTGAAAGAAAGTTGGTTTAACACTTGTTGAAATTTTAAGAACAATTTACAAGTTGAAGTTAAGCCAAAGTTATTTTTAAAGAAGTATCTGCGCATTTGCCGAGATTACCGTGTTACCAAGATTTAGAAAATAATGGAAGACATAAAGAAAGTGAAGTGGTATGTTTTAGATAAACACTTGTGAAAACTTTCTTACAATGCTTTTCAAGTGTCAAAGACAAGGCCGAGATAAACAGTCAGTACATATATTCGAGGTATTTTACCCCAAAGAGATTACACAGTTAAGGTGTACTTTGAAGGTATGCAAAATATTCTAAGTATGGAATCATACAAGACAGTAAAGGAAAGACAAGCACTCAAACACTTAGTCAAAAAGGAAGACTTGTATTCAAAAAGAAACAAAGAACTTCGGCTTACAAAAGATTACTTGTTCAGAATACCAAAAAAGGGCACATCGGCCAGATACAAAGTTAACATTGTTTAAATACAAAATATTACGGCTAAGAGGAAAACAGAGAAAAAATACAAGAAAAAACAGAAATATCCTAAGTGTTAGGATTGGCTTTATCGGCTGGGGTTACACTTTTGTCGGCTTGAATCTCAGCATCAATTTCTTGTAAAGTCTTATCCAGACTCTTCTCAGAGCACTGGATCTCAGCCTCAGAAATGGATGGCTTGGGGGAGATGCCCTTGGAGGCCAAGTCATCCTCCTCATCCTGAGTCAAATCAATTTGGTCATTAAGGATGAGAGACTTGGCATCAGCAGTAACCTCCTCCTCTATTTCGTCAGCTTCATCGTCTTCGGCATCCTCCCTGGGCTCTGGAGGGAAAGACCCCTCGAGTTGGTTGATGTCTCAAAGGTCAGAGTCTAGAGGAATAGCCAACTTATTGAGGGCTGCCGTCCAACCAAGGTAGTAACCTCGGTTACAAGCCAGGTTGACTTGTTGCTTGTATTGGTCGCAGACGGCGGCCTGTTCCTCTTCAAAGGCCTTTTCATCGGCCGCCTTCACCTCGGCCTCTTTGTTAGCAAGGGCCTCCTGAAGCTTGGCCTCCATATCGGCCACTTTTACGTTGGCGGCTTCAAGGTCAGCCCTTGCAGCATCGGCTTCGTTTTTCGCCTCCTTGGCCCTTTCCTCAGCTAGACTTTGAGCAATCTTGGTGTCCTTGGCCTGGTCCATGAGGGCGCGGTTGCTGGCCTCGGCTTTATTCAGGGAGGATAGGAGTTTGGCTGCTTCTTTTGTTTTCTTTGCCAAGTCTTTCCTCATCATCTCAGTCTTTGTGGCATAGGAGTGGGCGTGCTGGATGGCCTGTAAGGAAGTAACATAAAGTTAGCAAAATTTCACTAAGTATGGAAAGATTGTCAAAATAGAAGGCAAAATATTTACCAGAACTGAATACTGCATCATGAAGGCAAAATCTTCGTATTCATGAAGCTCGGCCATACGGTTCATGTCCTCGAGCAGAAGAGCTGCCGTGGACAGGGCAGCGCCGACCTCAAGATTGGCAGCACTATTACCGGTGGTAGGAGGTTTGTCGTCGAGCATGATCTCGGCCGCCCAGACCATACCTCGAGGATAGCTGCTGCCCTCTTTGGGGTCTGACCTCGTTTTCTTAGTAGGTGGGGCCTCGGAATCTGGGTCCTCGGCGGGACTCTTTTCAGCAGAAGGGGCGGTCTTCTCAGCCTCGGCTAATTTGGAGATAGGAACAGTGTCCTTAAAATCAATCTGAGTCACTGTAGCCTTCGCCTTGTCCTTCTTCATGCGTTTTGGCTTAGGGATTGGCTGAGAGGAGGAAGAAGACTGGACATTGACAATGCCGAGAAGGTTGGCGAGCAAGTCTTCGACAATTGCAGGTTTTCGGCCCATCTCGTCGGCGGTGGCGGCTATTGTGACCCTTGTACCAAAATGAATTGCTGGTAGAGCTGTTGGTGGATTTGCTGGGTCAAAAGATGACGCCTCAGCACTTTAGTGTCTTCGGCTTCGAGTCTTGCCTGCTGGTGTTTGCAGTGAAGCTCGACGTCGGCGCTAGCATTGAGAAGGTGGAATTAGCTGTAGAGCTGAGGTTGATGGCTGTTCTGCTGGGACAGAGGTTGATCCCTGATCTGGACGAGATGGCAAGGTTATGGCAAGAGTGGTAGCAGAAGGGGGGGACTTACTCTTCTTTGGGATGTTGGGCAAAGTTGATTTGTATGTTGGGATAAAATTCAGAAGCAAAGGAGCCTTGCGCTGATTAACAGGCAAGTCTAGCAACCTCTTAAAATCTTTACTGGGAAAGAAGTTTTTGCGGAAGCCCTTTGGGGGCTAAGGAAGAGCTGCAAAGATAAAACGAGCAGATGTTAGCACATACAAAAATATCAAAATATAAAGACTTTAGAACGAGAAAAAGTGACACTTGGTTCTTACCATTCCCCTCTCTGAATACTGATTGGCTTAAAGGGTACATGTGGAGGTCATCATTTGGTGGGAACTCCCAGTTACCTGAGATGATGAAATAATCGTCTCCAGCACCCTTGTTGGAATTAGGGAGTTCGGCGATGAGTTTGTATTCGGTCGACCTTGGCTTTAAGTAATAAATGTAGCCTTTTTCTGACTTAAGGCCGCACATGGTATAGCAGTATTGGATGTCAGTTAGGGTAATCCTAGCATTCTCTTTTTTGGCTAAGGCAATTATGCCGTTGATAACTCGGAAAGAGTTGATGGCTATTTGTATCGGGTTAAGCTTATAGTAGTGAAGGATTTGACGAAAGAAAATGTCAAGGGGAAACCTGAGCCCGCACTCAATAAAGGCTATTGCTGGAAAGGGCATGGAATTGTCTTTGGGCATGATTGAGTCCTTCTCTCCAGCCAGCCTAAAGTGGACGTCGGCGGGGATGGAGAAATCCTGCCTGAAGTGTTCAAGCTTCTTTGGGGTGTCT